TATGTTTAGGTGTGGGAGCAAAGCTCTGCATGCATGAGTCACAGTAAACAGACTCTGTTCTCACAGGAAGAGCAGACAGAAACAATCTACTCTGCCTTCAGGCAAAACCCCGAATCTTTCAAGGTAAGAAAAGCATGGCATTATCAGTTTTAGAAGATTATTTTCTTTTTAGTTAGACATTAATATGATCCAGATGTTAGCTGCCGAATTCGCACACTGTTTGGGAGATTAGTCTTGAACAGAAAATATGCAATTACATCTAATGCGAACATTAAGATAAACTACCATGAACTGTATTAAAATGTGCATGTCTGCTATTTGAAAATAATGATAGCAACGTTTGGTTTTTAACTTATCAAATTCATGTTAAATGTATATAGTGATTCAAATTACTGAAAATAACATGTTTGGGTTCAAGTATGACTGAAATAATACTCATTTAAAGTCTTTGAATAATTTATAGTATGATATCAAAGCTTTTTGATTTGTGAAAAAAAAAGTGACAATTTTTTTGCTGGAATGAGTGCTTAATAAGATTTGAAAGTATAAAAAATGCATTCATGCATTGACTATTTATTTATTTAAAAAACATTGCACTTCTCTGGAATAGGGAATGTTTAAAGAGAAACTTTAAAGTTTATGACTTGTTTAAGCAAATGTTGGATTACACAGGAAACCTGGAAAGGATTTACAATGTTTAACTGATATGCATCTCTACTTTCGGTTTATCTGTGATTTTAAGCATGCATAGAAAAAGGCATCTGATAAAAGCAGAGAGAGGGAATGTTCGGAATGAAAGTGCTGTTACACGCCTGTGGCAATAAAACATCCTGTCTGGTAGCTATATGCTTTCTCTCTGCTTTTGTTGAAGAAAAAAAGATCAACTCTTTATCTGTAAATCTGAGAATGCTTGATCATTTCCATGTCTTTTTGCATATAAAAATCTAAAAGCTTTCAAACAAACCATTGTTTTTATTTTCAGAGCTTTAGAAGAAGAATGGAGACCTCAGAGGAACACTATTATGACTACCCCGAGTATGAAAACAACAGCTCCAACTTCAGCTACGATGACTATCAGACCATCTGTGAGAAGGGCGACGTACGCTCCTTCGCGAGGATCTTCCTCCCAGCTGTTTTTGTGTTATCTCTAGTGATTGGTTTAGCAGGCAACGCTCTGGTTGTGGCTGTGTATGCATACTGCAAGCAACTGAAAACGATGACTGACACGTTTATACTTCACCTGGCTGTGGCAGACCTTTTGCTGCTCCTAACGTTGCCCTTCTGGGCTGCCAATGCCGTCCACGGGTGGGAACTCGGGGTCATCGTCTGTAAACTCGTATCTGCCCTGTACACCATCAACTTCACCTGTAGCATGATGCTGCTGGCCCACATCAGCATGGATCAGTACTTGGCTTTGACACCAGGAGCCAGAAACACAGGCATTACGCGTGCTTTTCAAAAGAAGCATTGTGTAAAACTCTGTTTGGTGGTCTGGACCGTTGCGTTTTTTCTTGGCGTCCCTGATTTGGTGTTTTCAACAGTCAGAGAGCTTCCTCATAAAAAAAGCTGCATCGCAATGTATCAATCGGACATGGCGCTCAGGGCTAAAGCTAGTTTGGAAGTGGTGGAGGTCGTAATAGGCTTCTTGCTACCTTTATTAGTGATGTTGTTCTGCTACACCTGTGTAGGCCGAGCCCTACTGAAGCTCCCTCAGGGGAGGAGGTGGAGGAAGTGGAGGTCCATCCGTGTGCTGCTGGTGATGGTGGGAGTCTTTGTGGTCACGCAGCTGCCCTATAATGTGGTCAAGTTCTGCCGGGCTATGGACATCATGTACACGTTTGTGACTCACTGCGGGGTTAGTAAAGAGCTGGACAAGGCTACTCAGGTCACAGAGAGCCTGGCATTGACACACTGCTGTCTAAATCCTATTCTGTACACTTTTGTCGGTTCCTCCTTCAGACAGCATGTATTGAAGTGTGCCAAAGACTTTGGAGATAGGGGAAGGAGGTTGGCACGTACGAGAGAGCAACAAGAAGTGGATATCTCCTTGAATTCTCATTCACAGTCCCAAGAGACCAGCACTTTTTCTATTTGAGCAAACTGAAGAGTAGATGTTTACTAGCCTGTGGAGCTTTGCACAATCTGCCCCTTTGCAAAATATGTACACATTTACAGGGAAAAATTAGTGAAGACATAAGGCAGTATTTTGACCAGAACAGTAAAATTCTAACTGAAGTAAAAGCTAAGATGCAAGATGTCGATAGTTGGGTTTATACGAAACAAATGGAAAAAGAACAAGTCCGCAGAGTGATACGAGAGATACGAAAATAGCGCCGGACTACTAGCGGACAGATGGTGAGTTCAACTCCTCCTTTATGAGTTAGAACATCTGGTGCGTTTAAATAACCTTGGTCGAAGCAAGATGTCTCTTTTGCATAATATTTAACAAGATTTTCTTAACTCTACATCTACAAAATGATGAATAAAGAAGAGTTTCTACTCGTAGGCTAATTATGACTTTGTGTGTAACGTTATGACTTTGTGACGTTCATGTTCGTTTAATAAATACAACCTTTCCCACATGACTTGAAAACACCTTGATAAACATCATTGCCAATGAGAACAGTGAATATAGGCTAATGGTACGTTCAAGTCCTCCTGAAGTTCGTATTTACGAGTTGGCATGTCTGTCAGGTGCCTTCAAGTTACTTTGGTCGGATGGCGATGCATCTTTTCTATTGTCAGGGCCGTCCTTAGTGGGGTGCAACTGCTGCGGTCGCACCGGGCCCCGCGCTTGAGGGGGCCCCGCGGCGAACGGCCAACCAACCCCACCCCCCATGGAACGCGATTGCGAATGGACCGAGGGGTGCCCCGCGTCAGCTACGGACGTTGCTGCGGTCGCACCGGGCCCCACGCTTGAGGGGGCCCCGCGGCGAACGGCCAACCAACCCCACCCCCCATGGAACGCGATTGCGAATGGACCGAGGGGTGCCCCGCGTCAGCTACGGACGGCCTTGTCTATTGTAATAATATTTAAAAATAAATAAATAAATACAAACCACTTCTACAAAATGGTGTCCCAATAAAGCATTTAAATATAATTTTATTGTTTTTCCAACATCACTGCAGCGGCCAATAATAGCAAATTAAGAATGTGAATAAATAGAGTCCAATAATACTGTTTCAAGTCTCAGCAAGAACAGACCCCTGCGGGGAGGCATTTGTTAGGAAAAGAACATCCTCTGCATCTGCATATTCCTTTGCATGTGCAGACACTGCTTAAAGGGATAGTTTACCCAAAAATGAACTGTCTTTATTTACTCATTCCGAAACTGTATGACTTTCCTGTGGAACACAAGAGAAGAATCATAGAAAAATACCCTGGCCACTCCTTTCCATATAATGAAAGTGAAATATATTTAAGTGTGAACTAAATGTGATGTTTTCAGACACTTAATTGGATTCTAACTGCAATTAAATTAAAATGTATTGTAGTTTAAATTTAGATTAAGCTCAAAGGTGTCGTGGTATTGAGGGTGGAAGAGAGCGCTGTACATTCACTCCCCCACCTACATTTCCAGCATTTCCAGC